TTCTCGTACTTTGCATAAATCGTGTGATGCTTGTTTTCGTGCTAAACAACATCGTCGTAGTTTCCTCTCAGTCAGGCTGTTAGTCATGAGACTTTTCATTTGATTCATTGTGATCTGTGGGGTCCGTATCGTGTTCCGGCCTTTTGTGGTGCACGATATTTTTTGACTATTGTGGGTGATTGTTCTCGTGGGACATGGGTTTATTTATTGAATGATAAGACGGAGGTTGCTTCCACATTGCTGAGTTTTTTTTCTATGATTAAGCGGCAATTTGATAAATTGGTGCGTGTTGTTCGTAGTGATAATGGAAGTGAGTTCATGTGTTTGGCCTTATATTTTCATCGTCAAAGGATTTTGCATGAGACTTCTTGCGCAGGCACCCCTCAGCAGAATGGGCGTGTAGAACGCAAACATCATCATATTCTCAATGTAGCTCGTGCTTTGCGTTTTCGGGCTCATCTCCCTCTTCCTTTTTGGGGTCATTGAGTTTTGACTGCGGTCTATCTGATAAATCGGACTCCTTCATCGGTTTTACATGGTAAAACACCATATGAGATTTTTTATGGTTCGACTCCTTCCTTGTCTCATTTGTGGGTTTTTGGTTGCCTTTGTTATGCTCATAACCAAGATCGTAATGGTGACAAGTTTGCTGCTCGGAGTCGTCGTTGTATATTTGTCGGTTATCCTTTTGGCAAAAAGGGATGGAGTTTGTATGATTTGGATCGTCAGATTTTATTTGTCTCCCGTGATGTGCAGTTTCTTGAGACTGAATTTCCATATCATTCAGACTCATCTGAGCCAGATTCTTTGCCACCGCCTCTTGTTGTGACGATTTCTTATGTGCTGGATGATGATGAGGATCTTCCGGTTGTCTCTTTGCCTCATGTTTCTCCTAATACTGGGTCTTCTTCTACTGATATGGACACTTCTGACGACATGGGGGGTTCCGTTACCATTACCCCTCCCATTCTTCCGGTGGAGCCCTTGGGTCGTGGTCATCGGACTAAGGTTCCTTCTACTCGGTTGAAGGATTTTGTGGTTGACACTGTCCGGCCTGCGGCTGTACCCCCCACTGCTTCTCTTCAGTCGTCTCCATCCTCCGGCACGCCTTATCCCATAGCACATTATGTTTCTTGTGATTCATTCTCTCCAGCTCATCGAGCCTTTTTGGCTGCCGTCATCTCCACTGCTGAGCCTCGCACTTTTGCTGATGTCGTGATTGATCCTCGATGGCGAGCCGCTATGCAGGATGAGATTCGTGCCTTGGAGAATAATGGCACGTGGGATGTAGTTTCTATCCATGTGGGAAGCGTGCGATTGGGTGCAAGTGGGTGTTTAAGATCAAACATAAGTCCGACGGTTCCGTTGAGCGCTATAAAGCGCGTCTGGTGATTTTGGGCAATAATCAGGTGGAAGGTCTTGACTATCATGAGACGTTTGCTCCCGTCGCCAAGATGGTTACAGTCAGGTTATTCTTGGCTTTGGCTGCTGCTAAGCATTAGGAAGTTCACCAGATGGATGTTCACAATTCTTTTCTTCATGGTGATTTGGCTGAGGAGGTTTACATGAAGTTTCCACCTGGTTTTCGCTCTGGCGTTGAGGGGCAGGTTTGTCGTCTTCGTCGTTCTCTCTATGGCTTGAAGCAGGCTCCCCGCTGCTGGTTTGCCAAGTTGTCTACGGCTTTGAAGCTGTATGGTTTTTGTAAGTCCTATCATGACTACTCTCTTTTTACACTGCATCGTGGTTTTGTCCATCTGCAGGTCCTAGTCTATGTTGATGATCTAATCGTTTCTGGGAATGATACCACATCCATTGTGGCCTTTAAGAGTTACTTGAGTCGTTGTTTTCACATGAAGGATCTTGGGTTGCTTAAGTATTTTCTGGGTATCGAGGTTGCCCGAAATTCTTCTGGCTTCTTTCTCTGTCAGCGGAAGTATGCTCTTGACATCATAGCTGAGGTCGGACTACTAGGGAGCAAGCCAGCTGATTTTTCATTAGAGCAGAATCATCAGCTCCCTCTTGCTAAGGATGATCTATTGTCTGATCCCGAGCGATATCGCCGTTTAGGTTGACGTCTTATCTATCTCGTAGTGACTTGACCTGAGTTGTCTTACTCAGTGCATATGCTCTCTCAATGCATGCATCAACCGCGTCTGGCTCACTGGGACTCTGCTTTGAGTGTGGTTCGATATTTGAAAGGCTCTCCAGGCCAGGGGATTCATCTTCGTACTGACTGTGATCTTCAACTCTATGCATGGTGTGATTTGGATTGGGCGTCTTGCCCTCTCACTCGGCGCTCTCTTTCAGGTTGGTTTATTCAGCTGGGTCAGTCTCATGTTTCTTGGGGAACCAAGAAACAACCTACTGTCACTCGCTCTTCTGCTGAGGCTGAATATCGAGCAATGGCTACTACATTGTGCGAGTTGAAGTGGTTACGGGGCTTGTTGTCTACTGTTGATGTCGCTCACTCTCAGCCTATGCGTTTACACTGTGACAGCCACTCTGCGCTGCATATTGCAGCGAATCCAGTTTTTCATGAGCGAACCAAGCACATAGAGGTGGATTGTCACTTTGTTCGTGATGGTGTTCTACAAGGTCTCATTTCTACTACTCATGTTCGTTCTGGGGAACAACTCGCTGACATCTTCACTAAGGTGCTTGGGAAGCGTGAATTTGATTTCTTTCTTGGCAAGTTGGGCATTCAAAATCTGCATGCTCCAACTTGAGGGGGATGTTATTGTGTATATTTACCGTATTATCCTTAGATTATTTGTAGCCCTAATTTTGTATATATATTCTTAGTTAATAGAAAGTTGTATCATCCGATTGAGATGATCATTCACAAATTACCTCTTGTCTCTCTCGTAACAAACTAAATATATTTGAAAAAGAAAAAAAAAAACTTATGAACTAATTAAATTAGTTATAAGTTAAACTTATATAATACTTACAAGTCGGGTTGTATTAAACTGTTATTATTTTTTCTTCAGGCGTCAACTAAACAATCAATAAAATGATCAGGTCAATCAAATAGAACTTCATCTTAAGTGGCGTCAACTAAACAATCAATAAAATGATAAGGTCAATCCAATAGAACTTCATCTTAAGTGAGTCCTGTCAATCCAATAGAACCTCATCTTAAGTGAGTTGTGTCGAACTTTTGAGCTCAAGGTAATGGAGCTCGAGCTCACCTTACTTATCAATATTAAGGAGTCGAGCTTTAATTAACGAATTGAATTCGAGCCTTAACAAGTCTATCTACATAAAATTATATAAAACTCTCTTTTTTCAAACACTAACTACCCGACCTGACCCAGCTAAGCCAAGCTCGACTCGTCGACGAATCGAGCTTTAAACGAGCTTCAAATTGTCTTGGTTATTAAACAAGTCGAACTGAACTCGAGTATTAACGAGCTGCTCGTTTAGTTTAAACTCAATTTTACATGAACTCGTGAAAGGTATAAATTTCTATATTTATTAATATTAAAAATGTATTAATTTTCACACAAGTGTTTTTTTTTTTAAATTATTCAACGTAAAGAAAAGAAACCATTAACAAAACCTTCTCAACATCATTATCTATAATTAATTAAAGCAATATTTAAACGTGGCTTATAATTCCACAATCATTTGTTGTTGTTTAGAAGTTAGAACACAATCAAGCCACGTCACAACCATCAATTTAACCAAAAAGTCCCAACCTCCAAATACACTTGTGGCAGATCCCAGCACACGTGGCCAATATGTCAAGGACTATTAGTCATTTGAGACAATTAACGATCCACCTGTCGCCACGTGTGCCACGTTACTGTCTGATTTTCACAAAATCCAATAAATTAAATAAAAATAGATCTCTCTCACAAACCATCACCACCGTCCAGCTGTTTATTCGTTTTTTCATTAATCAATGAATCATTTAATTAATTTGTGGGGAGATGTTATGGTCTCGTTGTTACGATACCACTAGTGCGTGGCCCTTGATGCACGGGAAAACAATATTATGATTATATTATAAATTAAATATACAAATAAATTAATCAAGATTTACTCATCGTTTTTAAATTAAATTGTATTGGACACAGTCCGACCGAATGGACTGAGAATCGATTTATAATCAGTCTAGTTCACTTGAATAAAATATTTGCTATTGAATCCGTCAATACCAGTCGGTTGAACTGGTAGGATCGATACGATTTTTTTAAATAAATTGGCTATATTTAAAATTATTTTAAATAAAATTACATATTTAAATAAAATAGAGATTTATAAATTGTTTATCAATTAACTTAAACATTTTAATTTTTAAATTATTTTGATATTTAAGTAACACATTTTATTCAAATTTATTACAAAAAGTACTATATATAATACATCACCAATGAGTGAATGTCACATAAGCGGTGGGCATATTAATATGTGCCACCGTGGGTAGGTGAGCATTCCTCTATATATATATATATGTATATATATATGTGTGTGTGTGTATTAAAGCGTATTTTTAAAGAAAAAAACTAAATTGTAATGATTTTTATAAATTAAGTTATATGATTAAATTGTAAGATTATATTACAGCGTATTTATAAATTAAATTGTAAATGATTATTAAAGAAAAAATAAGAAAATTAATAAAACTACTATTTATGAACCGCATTAAATGCTGGCCTATTTTTTTGCTACTAATTTTAGTAGATAGGATGACTCTTTATATAAGTATAGATTCCGTCAGGGTTTATAATCAGATCAATTATCCCGACGACTACATGATGATCTAACCGTTACAAATCCCGACGGAATTATTCAGTAACTAGACTTTAGAATTTGTGTTTACATTTTAGATTTTTTTTTTTTTTTTTTTTGGCGTGCAAGCAACAAAAATGGAAAATGAAAATAATACTATATAAAAAAATATTATGAGAACGAGTGACAGAATATTGTCAAATATTTATTTGAAGACCAAATTGTTTTGTTCGTTATTTTTCATCTTTTTATGATCGAAAAAAATGGGCTTTGCTGATAATTTTATGGGATTTATAGGCTTTGGAATTGGAATTCCATTTGGTATTTTTCTGGGATTTTTCATCTTCATACACTTTAGACCCACAGATGTTGTTCCGAAGGTAAGTTGTGTAAATTTTGCAGAAATTTAATCATTAGTCCTCCATTTATGCCTAAATTATGGAAATGCCTCTTGCTCATCATGATTCATGATTTTTTTTTTCTTGTTTTTAATTTTATTTTGGGGGATTTTTAGTGGAATATTTATTTAAGTAGTACCTAGAAACTGTTAATTTAATTTCAAGAAGAGCATATATTTTGGGTGTTTGTTCATTTTTATTTTTTTTTAAAGTGATGCATAATTCCTCTGTTTCTTGATTGATTATTTGATTGATGTTAGTGTGATTATCAGCTGTTTTCATGCTTAATTAGCATCAAGAAAGCCAAAAAATTGGATCAAATTAAAAAAAAAATTCACCTGAATACAGTAGTTATCTTCATGTAAAATAGTCATATAGAGCTGTTATTCGAACCCATAGCTTGGTTCGGCTGGTTCGTTTACTTAAACGAGCTGCGCTCGAACAGCTAATCGTGCTTGTTTATCAAACGAGTCGAGCCAAACAAGCTCAATTCCTTAGGTTTAAGGTTTTTGGTTGATTAAACGAGTTGAGCACGAGTTCGAATATGAGCTACTCGGCTCGATTTTGTGTTTTTCGTATTTTTTCGTAACGGGGGCAGAACGGGTTATAAACAATTTTGCAGGAAATTGTTAGTAAGCCGTTTAAAGAACTTGACTCGAGCTCCATAATCGATCTTATTCAAGACCTTCCACTATGGGTGATGAGTCCCGATTACGAGAGAGTACGAAAAATCTCGGTTTTCGGTTATACAGTCGATTATTTATTTATATTTCAGTTCGGTATTTCTGGTTTTGAAATAGCTACACTTGATAATTTTTATTTTGCAGGTCGATTGGTTGAACAAATGTATTGAAAGCACGTGGCCTTACTTTGATAAGGCGAGTCAATATGTTCGAATTTCGAGCATATGATCGGTTATTATTCTTTGTTCGATTTTTTTTTTTTTTTTTTCTGTTCATTTGTTGAGTTTCGAATTCACAGGCTGCATGTGGGATGATTAGAATCTCAGCAGAATCTGCTTTTGCTGAGTACATAGGCAAATTTCAGATTGAAACTATTTATTTCGAGCACCTTACTCTCGGAAATTTTCCCCCTAAAGTTCACGGTAATGACAGTTTGCACATTTCATTCGATACTCTATACTTTTATGCCTAATAGATGAAAAAAAAAACACAATTGAGATTTCACTTTCTGTTAGGTCTCAAAGCTCAAGAATCGAAAGAAAATGAACTAGTTATCGATCTTGCATTGAGGTGGGCTGGAAATGCAGATATTGTTCTTGTGTTCAGACTGTTCTCACTACAATTTTCTATTCAGGTTAGAAAGAAAAGAAAGAAAAAAGATTTTGAATTGTGCATTTTCGATACCAAAATTAAAGATTTTTGTTCCGATAATATTAAAACATGACGAGTCGAGCTATTTGTTTAAGGCCAGATAGTAGATATTCAAATATCGGCATCAACAAGGATATCGTTGAGACCCTTCGTGCCCACATTCCCCTGTTTTTCGAGCATTGCAATATCATTGATGGACAAGGTAAAAGAAAAATTCATATACATTGAGGTTCCGTCTGTAATTAGGCTAAAGAT